CTCCTCGCTCTCTGTATCGCTTCTCCGGTGTTGTTCCTTCCCTCCATCCTCCTCTTCTCCTTTAACTCCTCTCTCTCTCCTTTCCTCCTCTTTTTTAAAATAGACAGACAGAATCTAGATGCATACTTATCCCATATATGCAATAATACATACATACAACCATACAAATGTTAACTCATGACACCCTAGTCTAGATGGTTATGGATGAAATATGATAGTAAATCTAAATAGATGATAGATAGAAAACAGAATAGATAGACAGACAGAAAGAAGATATATAGATACACAGATAATATGATAGACTCTAGGTAGATAGGTTGTAACAGACATGAACATATAGACTAGACATATAGATAGACAGATAGATCTCTTGAATGTGATAGATGAATAGTTTAACTGATAGATACGCGGGAAATGATACAGAGAAAGAGGAAGGGGAAAGGAAGAGACAAAGAAAACAGACAAACACAGAAACATAAAAAGAAGGAAGAGGGGAGGGGGAGAAAGGAGACGAAGGAACAGACACAGAAACACAGAAAGGAGGAGGAGAAAAAGGGGAGAGAAGAAAAGAGGATAGAACAAGTGATGCACACAGACAGACAGACAGACAGAACAGACAGACAGGCAGACAGCACAGGCACAGACAGACAGACAGACGCAAAGCAGTCAGAGAAAAGGGCAGTCAAATACGAAGAAAGAGGAGTGGAGAAAGAGGCATTTGACACAAGTTAATGAAGACAGACTGGGGTGGGGGGGGGGGGGAGGAGATGGCACTGACCGGTCTATGGAGTACCTGTCTCTGTCTCTGTCCTCTCCTTCTCTTACTTTCTTCTCTACTTTATTTCTATTTCTATTTATTCCTCTCTCTCTCTCTCTCTCTCTCTCTCTTCCTCTCTCCTCTCCTCCTTTTCCCCCTGTTTTTTTCTCTTCTCTTCCTTGCATTTCCTCTCTCAACCCTCTCCTTTCCTCTCCTCCCCCTTTCCTTTTCTCTTCTCTTCCTTTCTTTTTCCTCTCTCACCCTCTCCATTCCCTTCTCTTTTTTTTGCCTCTCCCCCCTTTCCTATCCTCTCCATCTCTCGCCCTCACTTTTCCTTCCCTTCTCTTATTTTCTCACTTTTTCTCTCCTTCACCTCGCCTTCTCCTCTCCATTCCCTTCTCCTATCTCTCTTCTTTCTCCCTCCTTCCGCCTCCTTCTCTTTCCTATTCCTCTCCTTTCTCTCCTTCTTCCTCCTTCCATTTCCCTATTCGTCTCCCTCCCTATTCCTCTTCTCCTTTTTCCTATCCCTCTCCCTTTTCCTCTCGTTCTCCAGTCTCCTCTTTCTCTGTTCCTCTCCCTCCTCTTTCCCTACCGCTCTCCTCCTTCCCCCTCTCCCCCTTCTCTCTCCCTCTCCTCTCTCTCTCTCTCCTCCCTCTCCCTCCTCCCTCCTCCTTCCTCTCCCCCTCCCTCTCACCCTTAGACATCAGCGTCTGATCTTCATCCCATAGATTAAAAGGTTCTTGGTACAATCAGCGCGAGGAATTATGACGTCATGAGAGGGTGAATGCGGGTTCTTACGCGAACGCACTTCACGAACGCAGATGAGCGAGAGAGATAAATAGATATACAAAAAAGGGGAGAAAAAAAGAAAGAGGAAAGAGAGAAAAGGCGGAGGAAAAAGGGAAAAGGGAGACAGAGGAACAACAAAAAGTAAGAGATAAAAAAAAAAAGAGGAAAATCAGGTTAGAGAAAAGAGATAGCAAAAGATAGACACAAGAGACAGAAAGAAAGAGAGGGGGGGAGGGGGGAGAGGGAAAGAAAAGGGACAAAGAGAGAGAGAAAAGAGAGAGAAAGAGAGAGACAGGCGAGAAGAGAGAAGAGAGAGAGAGAGAGAGAGAGAGAGAGAGAAGAGAGAGAGAAGAGAGAGAGAGAGAGAGAGAGAGAGAGAGAGAGAGAGAGAGAGGAGAGAGAGAAGAGAGGGAGAGGGAGAGAGAGAGAGATGGGAGAGAGTAGAGAGTAGAGAGAGAGAGAGGAGTGAGGAGAGAGAGAGGTCTTCTCTCTTTCTTCTTTCTTTGTTCCGTTGTCTTCTCTGTTTGTTTTCTCGTTCTTTCCGTTTCTCTTGAGAGTAGCAGAGAGTATGTTAGTAAGAAGAATTGTAAGAGAGAGAGAGTATCGAGTAGAC